TTCTTGTTTTGTCCACTAGGAGGCTGCATCGCTTGATTCGGTCTATCGCACAACGTCGCTAGGTCCACTCTAGCCTTAACATTGTCCTTAGACTTATCAGTGTCCATGAGAGTTCCCCAAAGTGCATCGGCGATATTCTTTTCAGTGTGCATTACATCAATATTATGTGGCAGAAGAAGGTCATCGAAATAGGGGAGCCTCGTCAAGCCGGACTTATGAGTCCACATAGTTCCTCACCATATCCCACAAAACCACCTTCTTCATTGGGCATGAGAGCATCTATCTGAGCACGAACCTCGGCACCAGTCCTCAAGTGCGGTTTAGGGTCTATCACTTTGACACCTTTCGTAAAGCTCTTAATGTCTTCTCTGAATTCATGGTCTAGAGGGAGGAACTGACGATGCTGGTCGAACGACGAATACTTGCCACCCTTCTTCAACCAAATGAACCTCACAACTTCCTTGCATATTGGGCATGGGAACTTCCCGTGAACACACCAGGCGGCAAATAACCCATACGTCAGGAAGTCATGCAGGGAGTAGTGGTACCAAACGTGCATTTTGAAGCTTGTCTTTGTAGCTCGGTCGTATGTCCATACCCCCTTCTCCCAAGCGTGGATCAATTCATCAATCACAGGCTCCACGAGCACACCCATATTACTCCCCGGGTGTCCAGGAATTATCAACGACAAGAATACGTTATGCCGTTGAAAGGAGATGCCGGGAGGGAGATTGAGGGGGATAACAAAAACGGGCCAACATGTGTATGGGGCAGCCATCATTCCATAAGGATTGAACCCATCTGTTGCCAGCGCGACACGTACATTACGGGCCTCAGCTACTTTGTCACAATGTTTGTCATTGAAGTACGTCCATGCTTCAGCATCAGACGGATGTACCATCTTCCTAGGATTGTACCGTTTGCCATCTTTGTGCCATGTCATCTGTTTTGCGGATTCCTCGATCATGAATAGCCGTTGGATCCTCGGCAGGAAAGGAAGGTGCCGTAGCACTCTCGCGGGGATCGAAAGCTGCTTTTTTTGACCATCACCAGAGTCTACCTCTAGGTACCTAGAGGATTTACACTTCGGACAGTAATTTGTGTCTTTGTGTTCTTTCCTAAATAGGACGCACACCTTCGGACAAACATGTATCTTGTCATACGGCATCTTAAGCATACGAAGGAGTTTCTCTGCCTCGTACAAGTTCGTCAGCAAAGTGTGCTTCTCCGGTAGCATGGTGCCAAACACGGCCAACATCTTATCGAAGCCTTCACGACTCAGGTTTAACTCGGCCTTCAACCCCATTACGTGTCCAACCGCATCCATCTGAGACATCGTTGTACGCTCGTGAAGGGGTTTCTGTGCCGAGTGCAACATTTTGTAGAAGTCATTTGCGGATTCCTCCATCTCCTCCTTCTCACGTCGTTCAGCGAAGTGAGCTTGGTGGGCGTCATCTAGCATGTCTGCTACCCCGGCATCATCATCAAAAGCCTCGAGGCGTGCTCTCACCACCTCCACTCTTATACGATCTGCTTCACCATGGTAGATCCACTGCTGGTAGCTAGGCATATAACCATTGAACACAAGATGTCTACCCATGGTCTTCTCGTCTACCTTTCTCCTGTTGTCACATTTGCTGTAGGGACACCAAACTAGAGAATGTCCTCCTGCTCCTGGGCCAAATGCATGTTTCAAGAAATGAACTGTCCCCTTCACCCATTCATAGTCGTAGTCACTCCCGCTTCTCTAGCCCGTGTACATCCACTGATGGTCCTCCATCATTTAACATTTACATCACAGAGTATTGTGACCATCAATTGCATCTTTGCGGTGTTCCTAATGTCTAATAGGTGAGGATAGGTCCTAATCCCACCCGCGGATGCGTAGGTGAGGTCAGTTTCTAGGCTCCGCTCCTCTCCGAGATAGAATTTCCGGCAGCACCTCCCCGCTGTTCTCCTGATACACGTCCTGCAAGGGAGAGTGTGTATCTGGAGAACAACAGGGAGGTGATGCCGAAACTCCGTCTCGGACCGGAGCGGACCATGGAAACTAACCCATCTACGCATCCGCGGGATGTCCAAAAAACGTGGACAATCCGAAACAGATACGGTTGCAGATATGCAAAGATCCGCATACCTACGACCGTATCTCTTTCGGACGGGAGGCGCCTAACTGGGTTACATGCGGGCTATGACAGACATGCGGAAAAAGAGGTTATTTATACCTAGGGTGTCGGTGAAGTCAGGCTAGCGGGGCAGTGACGAGTCGACGCAGTGGCGAGGCGACGCAGTGCAGGCAGAATCGCGCCGCCGACGAAGACGATCGGGGTCCTCCGGGTCCCCTCCAACGTGCTCTTCTCCTGCATAAAAAGGCAATAGGTTATTGTTTGTTCAAAATTTTGGCAGCACCTCCCCTGCACGGGGAGGTTTCCAAAACCTGCAAAAAACGACAGGATGGCCGACATTCACAACGGCACGAAGGCCGACAACCACAACGGCACGAAGGCCCTCATATCAATTTACGGCACGAAGGCCCACACAACCACATATGGCACGAAGGCCGACAACGAGAGTTTTACCTAGGGTTGCGGTGGAGTCGGGCGTCGCGGTGCGGGGGTCACTTTCTTCTCCGGCGAGGTCGAGCGGCGTCGGAGTACTCCTCTCCCCCTCTTCCCTTCTCTCTTCTCCGCTTCTCCTCTTCCCTTCTTCTCTTTCTCCTCCTCCTCCTCTCATTCTTCCCCTTCTTCTCCTTCTTCTCTCCTTTTCCTCTTCTTCTCCTTCTCTTCCCCTTCCTCCTTCTCCTCTTCTTCTCCTTCTCTTCCCCTTCCTCCTTCTCCTCTTCTCCTTCTCTTCTTCCTCCTACTTCACCCTCTGCCTCCTCCCCTCCGACAGCAGCCGACAACGAGGGCGGCCTAGGGGCTGGTGTCGGGGCGGGGAGGCCGGCGCGAGGGGCCACCGGAGGGCCGACCGGGGCGGCGGGAAGGCCGGCGCGGGGGGGAGGGGGGAAGGCCGGCGCAGGGGGCCGCCGGAGGGCCGGCCGGGGCGGCCGAGCTCCCCTTCTCGACTAAGACGGGGAGGGGAGGCAGGGCGCGCCCCCAGGGCGGCTCTGGGGCAGTGGGGCGGCGTCGGCGGGCGGCGCTGGGGCGGCGCGGTGGTGGGGTGGCGGGGCGCGCGGGGCGCGCAGCGGCGGCGGGCCGCGGGGCGGTGGCGGGGCGAGCAAAGGAGGCGGTGCGCAGTAGCGGCGTATGAAATGTGGGCGGGGATTTTGGGCCAGGCCGCTGACCGATTTAGGGTTGGGCCCTTTGCCGAGGGCCCAGATCCATGGCCCTCGGCAAAGATTTTTTATTATTTTTTTAAATTTTCTTTGCCGAGGGTTGGCCCTCGGCAGATTTTTTTTTGGTTTTTTAAACCCAGTTTTTTTGTGGTGCTATAATACATTATTGAAAACTCAATTTTAAAATTTGGGCCAATTTTAACTTTTTATATATATTTCCCTAATTTATTTTCTTTTCGTTGATTTTTTCGAATATTTCAAATTTGAACTGCAGTTGGATGGAATAATGCAATTTAGTGATTCGAAAAATATTATTCATGGTATTTGGTGTATGTTGAGTCCCCATCCACGAACTCGCATCAAATTTCGGGCATCTTCTTCACGCAACATGACGAGGAACTTGTCGGGTGATCACATGTGGAGATGTCTGTGTTTTAGGCATCCGATCACAACTTGTTCGAAACCTTCTCAATTTTTACCACAGCCTACACATGCGATAACATGACACCTCGACAAGTTTCGTGATTTTCGGACTTCATATGGATTTTATATAACTTAAAAACATTTTTCCGACAAGTTCCTCGTCATGTTACGTGAAGAAGATGTCCGAAATTTGATGCGAGTTCGTGGATAGGGACTCAACATACACCAAATACCATGAATAACATTTTTCGAATCACTAAATTGCATTATTCCATCCACCTGCAATTCAAATTTGAAATATTCGAAAAAAATCAACGAAAAGAAATAAATTAGGGAACTATATCAAAAAGTCAAAATTAGCCCAAATTTTAAAATTGAGTTTTAAATAATGTATTATAGCACCACAAAAAAACTGGGTTCAAAAAACAAAAAAAAACTTTGCCGAGGGCCTAGCCTGGCCCTCGGCAAAGGGGATCAATGGCCCTCGGCAAAGAAAATTTAAAAAAAATAAAAAATCTTTGCCGAGGGCCTAGCCTGGCCCTCGGCAAAGGGGATCTTTGCCAAGGGCTTGGCCAATGGTCCTCGGCAAAGAAAATTTAAAAATAAAAAATCTTTGCCGAGTGCCTGACGGCGGGCACTCGGCAAAGACTGACGCCAGTGGCCGCCGTGACCCATCCGGCCATATTTGCCGAGGGCCAATTCGGCAAAGATTTATTTTGTCGAGGGCCTATCTTTGCCGATGGCTCCTGGGGCTGGCCCTCGGCAAATAGAGCCTTTGCCGAGTGCCCGAGATCTAGCCCTCGGCAAACCCAGAAGCCCTCGGCAAATGATGTGTTTCCAGTAGCGAGGGACTGAAATAGTTAGAGCAGGTAGACCCCGATCCAACGCCAACAGCACACCCAATTAACCGCGCGAGAGATCGAGTTAACGCGGTTTTCTTTTTAGGGAGGATCGTCTAGAACGAGAGAGCCGCCTCTGATATGACACTGACAGGTGATATCCACACCCGTCATCGAGATTTTATTGAAAAAAGACAGGCTACAACCTAAACTGCCTCAAACTTACTAGCCGTCTCTACTATGCAATTTAGAGCAAATGGGTAACTTAGAACCGCGTCTCAAAATTAAAAAACATCTTTGATATAATTTACAAAATAGACGGGCCTCAACAAGACGGGTTGCTGATATATTACGCGTCTCCAATATTATGTTATCACATACGGGTGTTTGGATGTGCAGCTGCGGACTAATATTTCAGAGACGGTTCTTTATATCACTCATCTGTAGTATATTTTTTATGACGGTTACAGATGACCGTCTCTAGTGGATGTGTCTCCTTTGCGCTTTTCTGGCGTAGTGGAGCTTCTTGAGCTCTTCTTCCACCTTCTTCTTCTCTTCTTCTTCCTTCTTCTTGTCCTTCGCTTCCTCCAATCCTCCACCACAACGATGTCGGCGCGGCAGACCTTCTTGCGCAGGTGATTGATCAGGCAGGCGATGTCGATGCTTTCTCCTACCACCTCCAGCCGGTCCTTGGTGTCGCCGGTGATCGCCACCGAGTTCACTCCTGCATACACATGCATAGAGGCGCGCCGCACGCGGCGGTAAGTACTGTACAAGCGTGTATTCATGGATATGTGGACGGATCCCGCACACGACGATCAAGATAATAACTACCGACAGATTTGGATGCCAGCTGCATGGCTTTAGACCAGTTCTTGGCGTTCGGCTCGCCCAGCCTGATCACAGACTTCTGCTGCAACGACCCGACGACGATCAGTGAGAATTCTAAAAATTGTCTGACGACTTCTCAGCAAGAGAGCACCAGTGAGAATTCTAAAAAATGGTCTGACTTCTCGACAAGAGATAATTGTATTTTTTTTTTGTTGAATATATATATATATATAAGGGAACAAAGTTCCAGCCTCTATCGTCTAAAAATGGTACACAGCTGTTGTTGAACATATATATGGGATTGCATGCATGGCGAATCAAAGTAAAGAGCAAAACAGAAGGCTTTGGCTACTGGACATAGCGTCGCCCGCAGCCGATCGATTTACCTGCCGCAAATGATGATGAGCAAGAGCAAGGAAGAAACTGTGATGGTGGCTACGCAGGCCGCAGCTACGCTTATGTTTTGCGCTAGCTGCCGGTGCAACTACGTACCAAGAGCAGCCTATTTATACACGCGCGCGAGCGGGCAAAATGTGGTGCCGGAGCTAGGATGACGCCGCCGCCTGCCGAAGTGCAAATCAAAAGGCGGCTAAGGGCCTGTTTGATCAGTTTCGAATTCTTAAAAAACAGTTTTTGTCTTTAGTTTCTAAAATTTGGATTCTGAGCAAAAACTGGTGGGGTGTTTGGATCATCCTAGTTTTTAAAAATCTGGCTTCATTTATTGCTCTATAGGTCACAAAAACTAGCAAAAGTAGCTTCCTAATTTTTAAGAATTCGACAAAAACTGGCAGAAAAATTGAGGGTGTTTGGATCCCACCCAGTTTCTAAAAGTCAGATTCTTAAGAACTGGAGGATCCAAACAGGACCTAAATTAAAGAGAGACCCCTAGTAGAAAAGGGACGACCATACGAATCATTGTAAGAGTTCGTGGTAGCCGGTAACTTTAGTTTCCTAAGTAGAAAATGGATATCTCGTTTCTCCGGAAAATTAGATCTTTTTAAATTCAACTAGATTTATAAAAATAATATTAACATTTGTATTATCTAAATAAGTTAATTATGAAAATATATTTATTTATGTCCTGATTGTTCCAATGATATTTACGTATTATAATATATTTGGTCACACTTACTATTAGAAGCGAGATTTTCATTCTTTTTTAGACTGAATGAGTATATGGCATTAAGATCAGAAAAAGCTTCTAAATATAAATCCAAAAACACTATTTTCATATAAAAAACTTATATCATGTGAGGGTATCTGTTCATTAAAATTAGAATGTTTGGCTCTTAAATCCATGCCCTCTCTACTCAACATGTGCGCACATACAAGCACAAGACGTTCAACCTACCACGGATTCATGATCAGTTGGGCACCTTTGGTTTTCTTGCTCATGTTCGTCTAGAAAGAGAGTCAAATTGGCTTATCGTAGCTGATCACTACATCTAAAAATACTCTAACGTCATCATTTACCCGATGATACTCTTGCTCACACGTCGGTGTCTGATCCGAATTATCCTCCACTCGGAGCTCACGTGTCCGTATTCTATCCGATTTCGATACAAAGAACGGATTCACGTGTCCGCATCTGATTACTTAGATTCAGTAAAAAAATTATGGTCTCAGTGCAATGCACGGGTATATATCTAGTGAGAATTACTTTCACATGGCAGGTAGCAAAGCATCAAACACCTTATATTGTTCCAACTTCTAGTTCTGTCTAATAAGGCTAGGCAAGCTCTGGGTAACCTTCCTCTTCCCGTTTCTATTTCCGCGGAGCTTCACAGGAAACAAATCTCCAGGTGTACTCTGCTTTCTGCAGGCAGTTGGCTCATGAGTCATGACGTGCGTCTCTTTGTTGGTGCGGATCAGTTTTAAAAAGCTGATAAAAAAATCTTCTTAGTGGATAACACCGATGTCCAGTATCTACAGAGTCTGAACTAGCATGATTAAAGATGCGTAATTTTAAGATTGCGATCGATGTAAACGCATGAGTAAACGATCGGTCTCACTCGGATACATGTTCGTTTAGAAGTAATCCATTCTAAATGCATTATTTCCACCTGGTTCATCTATGGCACAGGTATTTGCACATGATAAAACATATAGAAAGATGCTGGTGCGTGCGTCATTTTCAGAGGTGACATTTCTAGTTTCGTTTACTTGTCAAGCACTGCATTCTTTTGTAACGAAAGACTTGCCACTTGCTATTAGTTTTTGTCCACCGTGGACCTTTTTCTGAGTCTTCTTGCCGTCACCAACCCTCACGTCAGCACCTTCAGCAAATACTGACTGGTTCTCTGAAAGTCTGAAGACGAATGGTGAGGGTGACAAAGGAAAACTACTCCTAGACGGCTTCAGTTTGTGCAGACTGCAACACGACTGACGATTATATGTTGAACTGCTTTACATTTTAGCTTGGTCATATGTTGCCTGGTGGAGTGTATACATTGATGCAAAAGGCTAGAACACTATCCTCTACCTAAAGAGTCGTTTATATATTGTCTAATGACATCTGTTCTGTACAGAGATAGAAATTGGTTTGCGTACAGAGCGAGAAAGGGGGATAATTATGGATGAATTATGTTTCTTTAGCTAACCGGTCCATTCATCAAATCTTCAGGAGTTACCTCCAGAATACAGACAAGTTCCTTTAGCTAACCTACCAGAATATCGTTGTAAATCCGGGGTACAGTTGGTGACTGTGCGAATACAATTAATGGCTGAGTGTCTGGTTCTGAAAACCAATACTGATCAGGCCAAAACAGAACTGTTTCAATTTGCGAAGGTTGGTATAAGACTGACAGATAGATGGGCATATTTGGTTGTTTCTAGTAACATTTTGTTGGAAAAATTGGTTAAGCCTGAAGACCCATATGAAGTGCAGAAAATGTTTCATTTCCTGAAGAATTTGAACTGCGATATTATGTATTTGACGGAAATGAAGAAGGAATGAGTTTGGCGAGGAAAAAAGATGAAAAGAAGGATCAACGATGTGTTTCCTTTTACGAAACACACTCATGCGCACTGTACTCCTATGAACTATGCTGGGTGTATGGATTTCTTCATTTTTTAAATAAATAAAGCTGCAAGTAGCAGTACAAAAAGAGGAAGAGCTAGAACTGAAGAAAGGAATCAGGATAAAAAAAAAGTAAGGAAAAAATGCTATCCTTTTTCAAGATTACAACCAGTTTTGGATCCATAGATTGCAATTTTCTGAGCAACTTTCTTTGACTCTCAACGAAGTTAAGGCCATTTCTTTGTTGAAGGCATCCTTACTGTCTTGAATGTTTGGCCAATTCCTTTGAAGATCATGTTATTTCTAGCACCCCAGATTTCTTCATTTCGTTTTTCCTTATGCCAGATCTCTCTTGGTGGATTTTAAAAGGTGATTTTGAGACTTAGCTGCTCCACTGATCAAATCTTCAGGGTTTAATTACATCCAGAACATGGACAATAAAGACTTTCTTTAGGCCTCGTTCGGTTACGGGAGATTCATTCCCAGCCGAGCGGCATCTTCGTAAATTTGTATAGGACCGGATCTGTTCCAGGGACGGAACGGCCGGTTCCGTAACAACCGAATGACGCCTTAGGGAATCGGCTAGAATTTTCGGTGTCCAATTCGAATAAAATCCGGTGGAACCTTTTGTCTAAAAAATTTTGAAAAATAAAAATTAAAGAGAGACCGACCAGCAAGCACGAAAATGATTGCCAATTTCCTTTTTTTCTCTTTCGTTGATTTTCATGTTTTCATCCGCACATCGGTACAATCATCGGGCTAAATGGCAATGCAAACACAAGGGTGATATGTGCCCTTTTGGTTCGGATTTGTGATGAGTGATTGTCAACGTGATTCGCGTCTTGTATTGAGTTTGTGAACTGACCATGGCATGAGTTGAGTTGTGCAACATGTCTCTTGCTTGTGGTGCGCAGGTGTGGAGTTCGGAGGCGGTGGTCAACGACGAGGTGAAGGTCAAATAGGGACGTGCCGTGCCGATGGACCGGGAGCGGTAAAGGACGGACATGAGGCTTGGACCGAGGGACCAGGAGGCCGAGTGGCCAGCCGTGGTGGCTGACATCTGGGACATCGACAAGCGCAAGTGTACATGTGAGTGACCGTGTTGACCGAGTTAAGACGGCGGACGTGTGAGTCGAGCGGGGCTCAGGGGCACTTGGCGGCTGACCAGTCGAGGACGAGCGATGACACGTGTCGAGTGGCAGGGGACGTGTATGGAGTATGCTACTCACGGCGGTTTGGGCCTCAAAACTATCGGTGGCCGGTTTCATAGGTTTGGGCCTCAACACCGGACGGAGGTTCCGAGGAGGAACGGACAGCACGTGGCAGCATCGAGAAGTTCACGTCGAGGCGAAGCTATCTTCATGAAGGGCGCGGTGGCCTTCGGATAAAGATTATTTCGGGTTGGACCATAGTACCCACAGGTTAAGTTGTTCGACTAAAAAATATCTATGGACAAAATTACGATTGTGTAATAACCCTGTTAAATAAGACGAGGACCTTCTATCCCCCTGCCTCTTTCACTTTGCTTCGTTCTTCTCTGGGTTTTTCCCCTCCCTTAAGGTGTTCTTGAGAGAGGTCCACTTGTGAAGAAATTCGTGAGCCTAAATTGAGAATTGGCGTGGGAATGGAAGCCTGAATCCTCCGTTTGTGCTCCGGGATTCCAATTTCGTGCCTGTGATTTTCGTTGACTGAGTTCCCTTTTATTCTCCATTTTCGTTCTTGGTTTTGATCAGATTTCCCGGAGTTTGATCAATCCTAGGCGATGATTTCTTGGGAATAGATTTGTGCCTAGCTGAATTTCATCTGGACAAATTTTGGGGACGAATCATGGAGTTTTGGATTGGTTTTGGTTGAATTTTTGGAGCTGTCCTCTCCCTGTTCATTATCTGTTCGTATCGCTCAAGGGGTGCTCAGGCTCCTGATGTTTGCGTCAGGAAT